TATTTTTTTTTCCCCCTCCCCTTCCCTCTTTCCCTCCCCCTCCCTCCTTACCTCCCTCCCCTTTCCCCTTCTCTTCTTCCCTCCTCCTTCCCACTTGCTTCCATAGCGCCCTCCTCCTAGACCCACATACACAGCCATGGGACATATGTTCAAGGAACAGCTTTGGGGCAAGGGAGACAGTAGGGAGTGAGGGGTGCTGGGCAGGGAGGGTGCTGCAGGCTTTGTGGGGTGCTCCTGGCTGTTGTGAGGGGTGGTGGAGGGGGCAGCCCTGGGCCAGGAATCGGGAGGAGGGCAAGGGCGAGCAGGAGAGAGGAGGCCCAGACAGATCCTGCGCTCTGGCCTGGCCGGGGGAGGACACAGGACGGGAGGGAAGGCGGGCGCGGAGGTGGCCTGGGTGGTGGGATATGGGTGTCTGCAGCTCCGGAGGGGGCGCTGTCCTCCAGGAGTGGCTCCCGGGGTCGGGTTGAGTCCGCTCAGGTGACTCGGCCCCCTGCTGGGCCCCAGTGTCCCACAGGTAAGTCAGCGGAGAGCCGCCCTCAGGCCCGAGACGTAATTATCTGCATAGGCCTTGCCTCTCTGCGGGGGGGGGGCAGATGAAGAACAGCCCCGCAGTGACTGGTCCAGGCTCATGCGTTTGCAGTGGTGCTGCCTGCCTTGAGCCCAAGCCCACCCACTCCGAAGCCCCGCCCCTTGTTCTGCCATTACCCTCTCCATTTCCCCCCACACCCTCTGCCCACACTGTTGCCCTGTCCACCTCCCAGGCATTACCTGCAGGACACAGGGTGCTTGCTGAAACTGTTTGTTGATTGACTGGCTGACCTGCACACCCAGGGGAGGGTATTTGCCTGGAGATGCTTTCTGTCATACTCAGGCTTAAATCTGTTCTTAATTGTCAGTGTTGTCTTGGGCTCTGAGGTCAGGAAGTGGGAGGAGTGCAGGGCAGGACACACAGTCGCAATCGGGCGGTCACACAGTCCTCTGCCTCCAGAGCATCACAGGTGTCCTACACTTGTAAACCACAAGGCTGACCTGGCCCACCGGTCACGTCTGGAAAGGGCACAGCAAGGACCAGGCTGGGACGGGTCTTCCCACGGTGCTCCTCGCCTCCTTCAAGTGGGAGAAGAGGCAGAACAGTGTTCTGGAACAACCAGGCCTGGCATAGGAGGGTTGTCCCCCCGCACAGTGAGACCGCAGGCAGGCAGAGCTAGGGTTGCACAGGGGTGCTGGGAACATGCTAGAAGCCCAGTCCTGGATGGTAGCAAGACCAGGTGGACCCCAGTGATCTGGGTCAGGAGGAGGGGCGTGTATATGGGTGAGGACGCACGCGATTGGCTTAACAGCAGAGTCACGTGCGTCCCTGGAGCCAGGCCTGGCTGTAAGGCCAAACCCCGCGTAGCACGCTGCTGGTTTTCTGTTTGGTGGGAACCTGTGCGGGAAAAGCCAGCAAAGTTACTCAGGGGCAGCGTGGGGGTGGCAACTCAGGATGGCTGTGGCCGGGTCGAGCTGTGTGCTGGACATACAGCGAGGTGGGGCACAGAGGACGGATGGTGTGATGCCAGCCTGTGTCCCTGGAGGCTGCTCCTGCACTCCCCACGTTGGGCAGAGAAGGGCTCCGCTACTGGCGCCCCTGATGCCACCCCTGCCCCTGCAGCCCAACTTCTGCTATCGGGACCTGTGCACCGCCTTGCTGTTGGATCCCGAGCACCCGCAGGCCAAGGTGCTGCTCCAGATGATGGTGGATCAGGCCCAGCAGGCCCACCAGGATGCCGGGGTCCTGGCCATCCAGGGCAGGCTACAGCACGCGCTGCAGCGCATCAACTGTGCCATCGACAACAGCCCCCTGGATCCCAGTCTGTTCCTCTTCCGGTACGTGGTGGGAGGCGCTGGCCCTGGCCTCAGGCCCGCCCTTGCACAGCTTGCTGTGTGCTCTCAGGAGAGCCCCTGACGCGACTCCCATCTGTTTGCTCATCAAGCCGCTCAAAATCTCTCCCTGCTTCCTGCTAGGGTCCCAGCAACAAGGAGGTGGCCTCTGACACTGCTCCCGGAGGAGGGGCAGGCGGTGGGGCCCGAATATTATGGGAATCCTAGACACCCCAGCCTGTTGAGCAGTTCCCACGGGGAGCCCCCCACCCTGCCCTCACACTCACCGTGTGATTCGTGGCCATTTCACCTCTGTGAGCCTGGGTTTCCTCATCTAAACAGTGGGGTACGGGAGGCTGAGGCAGGAGGATTGTTGTGAGTTCAAGGCTAGCCTGAACTGCGTAGCGAAACCCTGTCTCAAAAAGAAAAAACAAACAAAAAAACAGTAGGGTGAAACATCTGTTCCAAGTACCCAAGGACCTCAGTATAGGTTGGCACACACCTGGCTACTTTTGATAAGTTAGGAGCACAGGACAAGGGTAGGCTGTGGAGTGGGAGCCGCCCCCAGCCTCTCAGGCCATGGGTCGACAGGCAGGGTGGGTAAGCAGTGGGTGCTTTGGCCCTGCCTGCCACCTGCCCCTGCTTCCCCCGTAGGGGCACCATGTACCGAAGGCTGCAGGAGTTTGACGCAGCCGTGGAGGACTTCCTGAAGGCCCTGGACATGTTGACCGACACCCAATGTGACATGGTGCAACAGGCGCAGCGCCAGCTGCTGCTGACCTACAACGACTTCGCGGTGCACTGCTACAAACAGGGCGCCTACCAGGAGGGCGTGCTGCTGCTCAACAAGGCGCTGCGGGAGGAGCAGCGCGAGAAGGGGCTGTACATCAACCGCGGCGGTGCGTGCGGGCTGCGCGCGGGAGGGCAGCTGATGGTCCCGTGTCCCGGTGTCGCCTTAGACAAACTGGCTACAGTTCAGGCAACTGGGAAAAGGTACCCAGGCGCACCAAAAATGGGACCGCCTGTGGGTATCAGCCCCCAGCTACCCTCTGCCTGGGCTGGGCCGGAGCTCCTGGCCGCTGGAGGTTCACTTGGCCCCTGCCCTCCGACCCTAGATTGCTTCTTCCAGCTGGGTAACCTGGCCTTTGCAGAGGCAGACTACAGCCAGGCCCTGGCTCTTTGCCCGCAGGACAAGGGCGCCAACATACGCATGTGCGTCCTGCAGGAGACGATGGGCCTCTGCGAGCAGAAGTGCAGGTGCGGCGTGGGCGGGGCCGGCGGTGGGCGGGGCGGGGTGGGGCTCGGGTCTCCAGGAGCCCACCTGCTAGGATCCTTGGGGCAAGCTGCTTCTGTCTACTAAATTTTTGTGTCTGTGTGACAGGGTCTGCTATGCAGTTCAGGCTGGCCTTGAGCCTACTTTGTAGCCCAGGCTGGCCTTGAACTCGGAATGATCCTCCTGCCTCAGCCTTCAGAGTGCTGGGATTACAGGCGTGCACCGCCACGCCCGGCCTGTCTACTAAATATTAACTTTCCAAATCTTCACTACAAATATGTCTTCCTCCTGATGATAGAATTGTGTTGTGAGCTGGGTGTGGTGGCGCACACTTGTAATCCCAGCACTCGGGAGGCTGAGGCAGGAGGATCTTTGAGAGTTCGAGACCAGCCTGGGCTACAAAGTGAGCTCAAGGCCAGCCTGAACTGCACAGCGAGACCCTGTCTCAAAAAGACAAAACAAAACAAACAAACAAAAAAAAGAATTGTGTTTTGAATGTAATTGTGTATGGTAATGGAAACATTGAAGTGTTCACTAATACATAGCTCTTATTGTAAAGTACTCCAAGACATACCACCCAACTTTTCCACCCCTCAAGATTGGTAATGATTCTCCAAGACTTTGAGCTAAGCATAGCTTAACAATTATTATTTACAAAAGTAGGCTTATGTGAAACATCCCCCCGTCATGTTGGGGATCAAACCCAGGGCCTTGTGCACGTCAGGCAAGTGCTCCGCCCCTAAGCTACATCCACAGCCTCTGTCTATTGCTTTGCTTTGTGGTGTTTCTCTACTCTTTAACTTAGCATTATTTAATCAGAGTCAAATTAGGTTTTTCATTCTTAGCGGCTAGGTTTATGATAGCCTCAGAAAGGCTTCCTCTACTCTAAGATCATCACTGGAATTTCATACCAGTATCTAAGGATCGGGTCTGTCCCGGGTGTGGCTGGCAGGAGGGGAAGAGAGGGGCACGTTGTGGGGAGCAGGGACCCCTGGTTTTCTCCCAGTCTTCAGGGGGGACCTGGAGCCCCATCTTCCGGAAGCAGACCCAGTTCACAGCAGTCGGGGCCCCTCTGCACCTGGCAGGCAGTTGCAGAAGGCGGAGGACCACTTCTCAGCGGCCATTCAGCACAACCCCTGGAGGGCCCAGTGCTACCTGCACCGGGCCAAGAACCGCCAGATCCTACAGGACACTCTTGGCGCCCGCCAAGATGTCGCCACCGTGCTGCTCCTGAACCCCAAGCAACCAAAGGTGGGTCCCTCCTGGACCAGGAGGGCAGGTGGACTCCAGACTCAGCACCTCTGGCTCGAGTCAGTCCCCGAGGACCTTGCCGTGATAACTGTAACAGTATTTATCAGTTGCAGCTGTTGATAACAGTAAAGCGCTAATGCCAGAACACCTTCTGTGAGCCAGGCAGAGCGCTTACCTGTCCACCCCACCGCTCCCTTGCAGCCTCATTCCCGCCCTCCTAGTCCAGTTACGTATCACTGCCTGCATCTACAGATGCCAAGAGCGAAGCTCCGAGGAGGAATCCTTCCCCCTTCTCAGAGGTCAGCCCTGCCTGAAGGGCTCTGTCAGGGCTCGGTGTTGGAACGGTTCCTTTCTCAGTCTCCTGCTCCCCTGGGGTCAAAGGGTCCTGCCCTTTAGAAACAACCCCAGACCTCCTCCATTCAGCACTGAGAAGCACCAAGTAGGACTCCGCGCGGCAGAGCACCAGCCACCTGCCCCCTGCTTTGGCCCACACCTGGCTCTGGTCACCCCCTTTCCTGACAGCTCAACCCGCTGATGACCAGCCTCTTTCCGGGTATGTCGGTGGAAGAGGTGCTGAGCAGCCAGGTGGGTCAGCTGGCCAAGCTGCAGCTGGAGCGGATGATAGAGAGCGACCTACAGGCCAAGATCCTGCAAGGCATTGTGGGGTGAGCTTGTGGACCAAGGGCCACAAGGCAGTGGTGGGGCTGGCTGTGGCTCCCTACTCCTCAGGCTCAACTGCCTAGTCCTTGAGGACGGCAGTGGAGTCTAGGAAGGAGATCAACTCAGGGCCCTGCGGCCATGGCTTGGCATCTGTACTCAGGGTTCGGGAGCTCGAGCGCCAGAAGGCCCAGGCCCTGCAGCTCTCCTGGAAGCTCAAATGGCCTTTGCCTGCAACCCTCAGAGAGCCAGAGCTCACCTCCCAGATGCTACAGGTATCCCCTGAAGACTCGGAGGAAGACACTGAGGCCTCCGAGGGGAAGAAAGCAAAGGAAGAGAAAGAAGAGGTGAGTGGGACCCATGTCAGAGCCTGGGCCCCTCCGGGTCTGGGACTGAGGCTGGCTACCGGGACCAGCACATCTTGCAGGGGGTGGGGATGGGACCGGTGATGGGAGGCAGCATGAAGACACAGGCTTCACGGGGAAGAACTTCCCACACCTGCCTGAGCTCACCTTCACAAGGTGCGCAGTGTGTACTGGCTCTAAAGACATCGTGGAATGCAGCAAAGTGTAGATAAGAGCACTGATCCAAAGTAAACAATTGAGCCAGGCATGGTGGTACCCACCTATAATCCCAGTCTTCAGGAGGCTGAGGCAGGAGGAGTGCAGTAAGTTCAAGGCCAGCACACACTATATAGCAACACCCTGTCTCAGAAAAAAACCAAAACAACAACAAAAAAATGAAAATAAACAATCGGATGAGCAGTTGGAGTTTCACAAGCTGAAGGCATGGTGACACGGCTGCCTGGGCCAGCAGAGAACATGGGCCCCGCTCCCAGAAGCCCCTGGATACTTCCTGGTGGGGCCCTGGCCCGGCTCAACCACAAAGCGGCCCGGGTTCCTAAAAACATCAGTCAGCAGTTTCACCCCCACACACCTCTCCTTTCCATAAATGGACAGATATGGGACGGCTTCCTGTCCCCAGACATGACCTCTGTGAGGTCCACACAGAGCGGGCTGCTCCTTCTCACCACTGTGATGTGCGATCCCTTATCTGCTCCCGGCTGGCGGACAGCAAGGAAGCCCGTGTCCAAAGGAAACCCCGCACGAGGGGACGTGAGCGCAGCCCGGCACCCGCTGCAGCACCGGGGCAGACTAGCCCTTCCTTCTTCCCGTTCACCTTGGAAGTGCAGATGCGCGGAGCTGCCATCTGTGTGTGGACTATGGCCCCGCCCTCAGAGGATGCAGAGCTGGCATGAGCAGAGCTCCGGGCCCAGCACCTCCTGTGAGGGAACCTGTGTCCTGCACCTGCAGCTTGCACAGAGGGGCCGGCAGGATGGGTGCAAACCGCCCTTGCCTCAGCTGAGTGGCCCCAGACAGGGGGCTTGGCTGTGTGGTCTGAGACGGTCGCAGGAGAGGTGTGGCTCACCCGGATGTGCCAGGAAGGTGAAATGGGGCACAGTGTGCAAGCAGTGAGCCCCCTGCTCACCGTCACTGCTGGTTCCCCACAGCACCGCACTTCAGTCTCAGAAGCCCCCGCGCTAACGAGGTGCATCCTGAAAAAGGGAAACCAGAGACCCCGGCCCCCCGAACGCTGCCTTGCTCAGGGCTCCATGCCCGTGTGGCCTGGCCACGCCCCTGCTGCAGTCTCAAGCTGTCCCCGTGCAACCCTCACCGGGTGTCTGTGCGGAGCTCTAGCAGGAGTGTGACTGCTGGAGGGTCCCAGAGCCAGCTGGTCTTCCCACTGCAACTGCCCCTCCTGTTTCCTGCTTTAGGACAAACCGGAGCTCACCCTTCCCAGGGCGACATCCCTGTCAGACAGCTACCTCGACCAGGCCTCCTCGGACTCCGTCCTTGGCTGTAAGTCCCTGGTCTCCTTTGAGGCCCATGTGAGTCAGAGTGGCACAGTGGTCAGTGGTCAAGGGTCACTAACTGGTTGTGGTGGCACATCTGCAATCCTAGCCCTTGGGAGGCTGAGGCAGGAGGATCGCTGAGAGTTTAAGCCCAGAGTTCAAGATCAGCCTGAGCCCTGTCTCAGAAAACCAAAGCAAAAATAATTCAGACATCAGGACGTGTGAACTTGGGCTCTGCTGTCGATGGACCAGTGTCCCTGGGCAGGGGACTCTATAGTGGAAGTCACAGTCCCAGCCTTGGGGGGAGGCAGATAGCCAAAGCTGGGAAGGGGTGGGGCAGGGCACTGCTGGGACTGAGGTGGAGGCCTGTAGGGGCAAAGAGGGGCAAGGGACAGCCAGAGGGGACCCAGGTGGCAGGTTGCTGGTACGAACAGCAAGCCTTCGCCTTGGGCCGTGCAGAGCCCGTACAGGGATGCAGGCGGGGGAGCTGCCCAGGGCAGGGGCCAGCCTGAGACCTGCCCTTGGCACACCCTTCCCAGTCAGGACGGCACCCACCTCAGAGACGGAGACGTCCACACCGTGCCAGGCGTACAGGAGCACCTCCACCACTTCCGGCATACCCTCTGACTCCTCCATGCCCAAGACTGAGTCCTCAGACTCGGAGAGCAAGAGGGAGGCCCCACGCCTGAGCCATCAGCCCAGAAAATCTCAGGGTTCCCAGGCTCAGACACAGGGCGGCCCTGAGGCCGCGCAGAGCCAGGGCTCCGGGGAGACTGAGGCTGCCCAGGGTCAAAGGCAGAAGCCAAGCAAAATCAAGGCCACCCAGAGCCCAAGGCAGAGATTCCGAAGGGCCAAGGCTGCCCACAACTGGGGACGAGCCCAGGGTCCCAGCAAGACCAAGTCTAAGGTTTCCCAGGACCCAAGCAGGGGCCTCAGCACTAACGGCTCGATGCTCCGTGAGACTGAGGCTACCCTGGACCCAGGTCAGGGCACGAGCTCAAGTTCCACCAAGCTTGACGCCACCCAGAGCCAGAGTGCCAGCAGGATCAAGGCTGGTCAGGGCTCTGACCATGGTGCTGCGCCCCAAAGGCCTGAGTAAGGCCCGTGCTTCTTGCTGGGAGACAACAGACTCTGCCCCCGATACCGCACACAGCAAAGCAGCCCTCCCAGGGCAACAAGCAGCCCGGCCAACGTTCCTGTGGTCCCATGGCTCAATTTATTGCATTTGTTCATTTACAAAAACGAAAACGTCTAAATCAGGCGCGGGTGGCAGCGTGGGTCCGTCCGTGATCCTCTGTGATCTCGGGACAGAGGCTGAGGGGTGGGGTAGGGTCTGGTACCGGGGCAAGGGGCTCAGGTAAGAGAGCCAGGGCAGAGGGAGCGGCCCCAAACTGTGGTCCCTGAGTTACAATTCACAAGAAGCAGCCCCAGGCTGCAGGGCGAAGTCGTAGGGTGGCCAGGGGTTTCCCTGGAGGAGGGAGCCAAGGCCGCAGAGCCCGCTCACCAGTTCAAAGGCTGGGCCTACCGGCCCCTTGTCCCTAGCCCCTCTTCATCTTGACTTTGTGTTCTGGGTCCCACTCTCAGCAGGCTTGAGACAAACGTCCCTCAGCGGAGGTCCCAGGCCTTTTCTGTGTGACCCTGGCCAGGTAGAGGAGGCAAGGATGCCAGGCCAGTGTCAGAGGAAGAGGGTAATCCGGGAGGCCACGGTCTTGCAGCCATTGGAGGAGAAGAGCTGCTCCTCCTCAGGGAAGAAGGTGGTGCTGTCCAACACGGCCTGGACCACCCCGTCCTGGGGCTCCAGCCCCAGCTGGGCCAGCTCATTGAGCACACAGTGTCGCACATGGTGTCGCTGCAGCGGGAGGAAGGGGACCACAGCGTCCAGCAGGTGCTCCTCCACAATGCCCGAGTGCCAGAAGCCATCTGCAGGAAGGGCAGGGCGGGGACACTGTACCTCATGAGCTCGTGCACGTGGGAAGAGGCCAGGCACCAAGGGGTGGTGGAGCTGCGACGCTGGCCTCATCGCCCTTGGTCACCCTCTGAGCACAGGCGGGGGTCCTACGGCTCCCGGGTGACAGGGCTACAAACCTGTTCCTAGGGGACCAGGCCCACCCGAGGAGGCTGTCACATGGGGTCTGGGGGTGAAGCCACACAGACCGGGCCCCCGAGCCAACTCACGGTGTGGGTTGTCCAGCACGGCCCGGGAGATGACGGGCTCCAGCTCCTGCAGCCCAATCTCCTCTCGGTCCCGGCGGCTGCGCCATGCCTCCAAGGCCACCTGGTTGATCTGCTCACCACCAGTGTTGCTAAAACCATGGTGAACACAGGCTGAGAGTCAGAAGGGGCCGGAGGGTCAGGACTCGGCCTTCACCTCCCTGGTACCACTGTGTCCCTGACTCAGTGGGCGGGAGCCAAACCGAGGAAGACAGCCCTCCCCTCTCCAGCTCCCGTGGCATGGATCAGCACGCTTCCGTGCCCCTTCCCTGCCTGTCTCTTGGCCAGGAGGACAATGGCAGTAAAATGAGGCTGCTCCAGTGGCACTTCCGTCTCAGAAGAGAAGGAAGCCTGGACGGGTGAAGCAGCCATGCCTGAGGAAACACAGCTAGGACCCACGGGCCTGGGATGACAGGACTAGAAGTCCAGTCTGTGTGCTCCTGGCCACTGCAGAACAACGCGATGCACCAGGGTTTCCACAGAGACACGGCAAGGACCCAAAGGACCATGCCCAGCACGCTTGGAGAGCGTGCAAGGGGAGGTCAGTCGTGAATGACACCTCACCAGCATGAGGAGGAGGGGCTCTGAGAAAGCCTGACCGGCCTGGGTGTGGGGTGGGGGTGGGGTCCAGTATCCCCAGGGAGCACAGGCCGAGCCCAGGCCGCTGGACCTCTGAGAGGCGTCACCCACCTGATGAAGATGAAGATGGCTTTGCGGTAGTTGGTCCCGTATACAACCCAGGAGGCACCCAGGAAAGGCAGCAGGACCTCCATCAGCCCCGGGGGCAGCTTGTCCATCTCATCGAAGAGGAAGAGGGAGCGGCCACAGGCAGTGAGGTTCCCCTGGACCCAGTTCTTAAGATCCTTCTACGGGGAGAGACAGGCAATCTGGGGGACCAAAGATGCTCCCCCGATCCCAGACTTCTCCCGAGGCAAGAGCTAATCCCCTTCCCTGGGACATGCAGGCTCTCAGGGTAGACCAGCCCCTTCACGAGGCTGACGGTGGTGAAAGGGTGGCCCGGAAGGGTGACACGGCCAGGCGGCCGGAGGACAGGGACGCACACCCATCTCCCTGTTTAGGGCTCCTTCCACACTGACTTCCTGCTCCTTGCTCCTGCCCAACGCTGTCACCAGCTGGGCCGGCTCAGCCTGGAAAGTAAGTGCCTTGTGGGCGACAGCAGCCCTTAGAGCTGGTGTTCACCGCCGCCTCTGTGGCGCAAACCGGGGCTAAGCGCTTCACAGGAAAGCAGCGCAGACTGTCTGGCAAATAGGTGCCCAATAAGCAACACCTGCAACCGGAGAAAGCCATCTCCTTCACAACGCTGGCAGCAGGCGCTGTGACTGCCCACCACCTTGGAGTCAGAGAAAACTCCCTGCCAGGCAGGAGCTGCCCCTTCCAAGCCCTGGGCAGCATGGATCCTGAGGGCCGAGGTCCAGCTGGCCGTGGGGCCAGGGGCGAAGGCCTCCCCTCTCCGGGCTCAGCACTCACTGCTCACGGTCCTTCAGCCCACGGGGTCATGCATGGTGCCCCAGCATGAGTCCAGCCTACCTTGTAGCGCTCGATGTGGCTGGGGTGTGGGAAGTGGATGATGGGGGAGAAGTGGTGCACGTGGGGGCTGCGGAGGCCGCCCTGGAAGAGGTACTGTGCCAGCAGGGAGCTCACGTAGGACTTGCCGGTGCCGGTCCAGCCGTGCAGGGACAGGACCAGTGGCTTCTTTGGGGCCGGGTCCTGCACAAAAGCCTTCAGCGACTTCAAGACCAGTGCCTTGGCCAGATGCTGGCCGGCCAGATGCTGGGCCAGGTCACACTCCAGGCCTGGGGCCACAAAAGGACAGCGTCAGAGCTGAGAACACATCCCCAGCAAGGCAGAGGCTCAGGGGGAAATCACGTCCGCAACCTGGCATGGGAAAGTGTGGGTCTGGGACGCAGAAGGACATGGGACCCTTGCGGGTCTCCGGTTGCAGGGGCGCCCTCAGCCTGGCTCAGCTCGGCAGCGCCCCTACCCGGCCATTCTCTGGATTGCAGCCTTAGGTGAGCGCGAGCTGCCCGCAGGATCCGGCCTAGACCCCTAACTGCCCCCAGGGGCCCTGCTGTCAAGGCTCTCTTTCCATCCTGGCAAGTCCGCGGGGACCCCCAACGGGCACCCTAAACTCTCGCCTCCGGGGCGTGCCCAGGCTCGCAGGTTCCCTCCCACGTCTGCATGTTTCCTCTCCAGATCCACGGATGCTCCGGCCGGGCCCGCTCCCCGACCCCCGCTCCCAGGTCCCTCACCCGGCAGGTCCGGCCGGAAGTCGCATTCGCAGAACGAACCGAAGTTGCAGCGCAGCGAAGTCAGGTCCCAGGAAGCGGCCGCGGCCGAGACCAGCGCGAGCAGCCCGGGGAGCGAGCCCCACGGCCGGCAGCTGCGTGTCGCAGCCGCCATCCGTAGGAGGCCGGAGCTCGGTCTGAGGCCTCCAACCCCCTCGACCTGGGAACTACAGCTCCCACCGTGCACCGCTCGAGGGCAGCCATGCTCATAGCCTACAACTCCCGGCGTCCCTGGCGCGCGTCCTAAAGCCCCGTCCAGTCGTCGTTCAGCTGGAATGGAAGGTGGCCTCCAGGGGGAGCGCGCGAGCCGTCCGATCCGGGCCGGCGGGCAGTGTTTCCATGGCCACGGTAACTAAGGGACCATGGGGAGCTCAGAGAGAATAAAGGATTATGACCACAAAGGGTGATGTAACAATTATAACAAAAACTTGTACGGAACCTTACGCCTTGCAAAGCGCCTTTTGCATGCCAGTTTTTTCTATGGCAAAAGAGAGCTCATTAATTATAGCTTTTGGAGAAAACATATAGGTGCTCTTAGTGTCAGGTCCCTTATATATTCCGTAATATAATAGTACCTGCCATACAGAGAGATGGTAACATTTCAGTGAGACACAAGCACATAAAATACGTTAGTCATTAAATAATAAATGGTCATCGACAATCCATTATATATGAAACACAGCTGCCCCTTCGCTGGCAGCTACTAAGTGTTTAATATCAATCCTAGGAGTTCGGTTCCATTATTTGTCCCCATTTTATTGGATGTGAGGCCCAAGAGCTTAAGCCTCTTATCTAAGTGTGCAGCTAGTAAACAATAGAAGTGAACACAATCCCAGCTTCTGCCAAAGATCGAATGCACGGTGTCACGTGTTAGCAGTCTCGCTCGCTCAAAGGATTTCCAGGCAGAGGCCTTCGAGGTCTCAAGTTCAGGAAACAGGCTCCCAGGGCCTCCAGCCTGGCTGGGATCATGCGGATCCACACTGCCTCCCTCCACGTCTCCCACCCGCTGGAGGAAGGGAACCAGGGCAACTGCCTTCCTGGCCCCCTCCAAGATTCTTGTCCGTTCCACCAGACACAGACATGTGTGCACGCATACCCCGTGATTTCTGGGGCCACATTCCAGTTCTTTGTTTTTGTTTTTTCCATATTGGAGATTGAACCCAGGGCCTCACACGCGCTAGGCAATAGCTCTACCACTGAGGTATGTCTCCAACCTTTTTGTTTGTTTGTTTTTCTTGAGATAGGGTCTCGCTATGCAGTTCAGGCTGGCCTTGAGCTCACTTTGCAGCCAAGGCTGGTCTTGAACTCACAACAATCCTCCTGCCTCAGCCTCCCCAGTGCTGGGGTTACAGGCATGCATTACCATGCCCGGCTCCAACCCTTTTTATTTTCTTTTTTTTTTTTTTTTGGTTTTTGGTTTTTGGTTTTTCTCCGGTACCAGGAACCGAACTCACAGCCTTGCGCTTGCCAGGCAGGCACTTTACCGCTGAGCTAAATCCCCAGCCCCAAGCCTTTTTATTTTTATTGGTTTAAAAAAAATTTTTTTTGAGTCAAGGTTGAATTATGTACTCCAGGCTGGCCTTGAACTTGAACAATCCTCCTGTCTCAGCCTCCCAGAGTGCTGGGATTACAAGTACACATCACCACACTAAGCTTTTTAAATTTTTGGAAGTGTCTAGCTATGTACCCAGGCTGGCCTCCAACTGTGATCCTCCTGCCTTAGGCTCCCAAATACCTGGGACTACAGCTTACAGGTTGTATGATTATGTATCCCACCTCGCCTGAAAAGAAATGACCAGTTCCCTGTATAAAGGAAAGAAAAGGTAAGAGCTCCAGGTCAGGACAGCCAGTTCGTAGCTTTTCTTCTGCTCCTGCTGTAACACGGAAGTCCCTTCTCCCTCCAGATCTGTCTTCCGGGGGAAATGGGACCCTAGATTTCCAAATCTCTTCCACCCCAGCCATCTGAGCCTCTTGCTTGTGTGTTCTGTGGAAAGCACTGCTGCAGCTTCCTGAGGGCGGCAGGGAAGACGGTGGACCAGTCCTTCCCCACTGGGCTGGAATTTGCTGCGGTCTCCCCCACCACATGTGACCTCCGCCAGGCAGTGCCTGGGTTTGGTATATGTTGCAACCTGGCTCCAAGTCCAGTCTAGGATGGACTAGGTGCTAAAGAAATATTCCCTGACCGGCATTTCCCACCTTTCCCTTGAAAAGGGCACTTCCTTCCGCCTCTGGACTTCCCAAGTCAGAAGAGTCATAAAAGTTTATTATATGAAAGAAAGAACATGGCTCTGTACATCTATTTACAGACAGGCAGGCTTATTTACAGGGGTGCGGCGGGGTCAGAGGCCTGGTGTGGAGAGGAGGCCTGGGGGCCTCCATGGCTCCAAGTCGGGGAACCTCGACCGGAAGAGGAACAGCAGAAGCCAGGGGGAGGAACAGGGCTTCCTGTCCTTCCTGAGGGAGACTCGGTGAGCGTGTGGCAGTGGGACGGAGCCCGGAGTCAGCAGGACCCTGGAGGTGCAAGGGAGATCCTGGAGTTGAACCCAGAACATTCTTGGGCTGATCACAGTGTCCCTGGGGTGCTCTGGGGAAGGTCTGTGCCCTTCTGTCCCCAGTGCTGCCTGCCGCAGCAGAGGGGAACAGTCCCTGGGGGTCACAGCTCACTGGAGCGCACGGCAGGCTCCAGCTTGTGGGACAGGGCGGTGAGGACCTTCTCGAACTTCTCGTAGCGCTGGGCCTGGCTGCTGCTGGCGCCCTGGCTGCCCCAGAGGAGGCGCATCTGGAACTCGGTGCTGAACACCTCCAGCAGCTCCGGGCGGGCCTGGAACCCTGCAGGGCAGGGGCACAAGGTCAGGGACCACCGTCCAGCTGGGGCCCCCACACCCACCAATGCCCACTGGGAGGAACCCCCTAGAAAGCCCCCCAGGCTTTGGTGAACAGACAATGCCACTAGCACCTCGTCTTCCCCATTTACAGCATACACTTTCTAGATGACTAAAGTTTAGAGTGTTTTTGATGTTGATTTTAGTGTTTTGAGATGAGTTTCACTATGTAGGTCAGGCCGATCTTGAACTCATGGCTATCCTCCTGCCTCAGCCTCTTGAGTGCCGGGATTACAGGAATGTGCCACCAGATCAGACTACCTCTGGGTAATTTTTTACATGATAGGTTTTTTGTTTTTTTGGTACCAGGAATCAAACTCATGATTTTGTCCTTGCCAGGCTGGGTAATTTTGTTTGTTTGTTTGTTGTCTTTTTGAGACAGGGTCTCGCTATGCAGTTCAGGCTGGCCTTGCACTCACTTTGTAGCCCAGGCTGGTCTTGAACTCGCAACAATCCTCCTGCCTCAGCCTCCTGAGTGCTGGGACTACAGGGGTGTGCCACCATGCCTGGCGTGGGTAATTTTTTTAATCTTAATTTTTCCCACCTGCAATTTCTAATCTGTCTCCAGTGAGATTTTGTGACTTAATGCAAAAAGCAGTAAAAGAAAGATTGAGCCACCCGCTCTCTGCACCTTCCCAGACAGGAAGTTCTGTCCTCCAAGAGGGGCAGGTCTGTCTCCAGCCCAGGCCTATCACAGATAGGAACTTCACAGATGCCCACTTCACAGACAGGAACACTGAGGCTCAGCAAAGCAAAGCATGACGCACAGGTAGGTGCTGAGTCACCCCCAAGTCCACCCAGCCCACTAACAACTACCTGGTGACCTGAGAGGGAGAAGGAAGAGAAGTCAGGGACACAGGGAAGGACAGACAGATGCGAACAGCGCCCTGAGGCTTCCAGGGCAAGGTGGGGGAGGCGCCGGCAAGCGGGACCCGATGGCCACCACTCACCCTGCAGCTTGACCTCGGCGTTGGTGTGGTAGAGGCCCCCGTGGTGCGCCACGGTGCGCGCCGCCTCCAGGTGCGCCAGCACCACCTCCACGCCGTGCTCCGTGCTCTCCCAGGGCTCCGGGCCCTCGGTGGGCGCCGCGTCGCACTCCAGCAGCGTGATGAGCGGCAGCACGTGCGGAAACGTGGTGTTGCTCAGCGGCGGGCCTTCTGTGGGCACAGCGAGCGCTCAGTGACGGCGGCCGGCCGGAGGGGCTGGGGTCAGGACCCCCGCAACCCTTTCCTGTCAGACCCTCCGGGTGAGCCCCTGGGCCGCGGGTAGCCCCGAGGGCTGAGGCAGCATGTGGGCACGGCTGAACGCACACTGGGCACCCAGCAAGGCAGATCGGTACCTTTGCCTTCGTTGAGGCTCTTGAGAAAAGGCTTGAGCTTCTTCTCGTACAGTATGGCACCCTCTGTGTGTCGCTGCCGCAGGGTCACCCACGTCTGCTCTAGCCGGGAAATCTGGAGCGGGGGGAAAGTCTGAGACCAGCCCAAGGAGGGGCCAGCAGGGGACACTGCCTGGGAAGCCAGCACAACAGCCCATTTCATAGGTGACGGAAGGAAGCTCAGAGAGGGGCAGGTCCCCTCTGGGGTTATTCCGTAAGGAGTGGCAGAGCTGGACCTGAACCCAGAGCCCTGCCTTCCTCCCCCGTCCTTCTGTGTATTAGGCCCAGGAACGGCCTGCACTGGGCCTGCCTCACATCCGCACCCGTCAGGCTGTGTGACCTCCAGCAGGTACTGCTGTCTCAGTTGCTCCATTAAATTTTTTTATTTGCTAAGTTTATTTCTTTATTTAGACTTTTTTTTTTTTTTTGAGACAAGGTTTCACTATGTAGTTCAGACTGGCCTTGAACTTGTAGCAGTCCTCCTGCCTTCAGCCTCCTGAGTGCTGGGATTACAGATGTGTGCCACCTTAACTGGCCTCTTTTTTTGGAGGGGGAGGTCTTTTTGAGACAGGGTCTTGCTATGCAGCTCAGGCTGGCCTTGAGCTCACTTTGTAGTCCAGGCTGGTCTTGAACTCGCAATGATCCTCCTGCCTCAGCCTCCCAAGTGCTGGGATTACAGGCGTGTTGGGCCACCCCCCCCCAACATACCGGCCTATTTTTTGAGACAGGGTCTTGCTATGTAGCTCCGCTGGGCTTCAACTTACTATGTGCCCAGGCTGGCCTCAAACTCCAGATGACCTCCCTACCTCAACCTCCCAAATGCTAGTAAATGTTTAGTGTAAAACCAGGCACAGTGGTGCACGCCTGTTGGGGTGTTGCATCCCAACAGTAGGGAGGCTGAGACGGGAGGAGTGCAGAGTTCAAGACCAGCCTGGGCTACATGGTATGTTCAAGGCCAGCCAGAGATACTTAGTGAGATTCTGTCTCAAAAACAAACGCACACCCACTTAGAGTAGCTCCCAGCACAAAGTTATACCCATTATATGTGTGTTTGTTTTGATTAATCCCATACACTGGTTTCTCTTCAGATCATATAAGTCTTTCGCCTGTTTTGATTAATCCCAAAGCCTCATGCGTGCCAAGCAAAGGCTCTAACACCAAGCGACATCCCTGGCCCTTTCTGTTTTTCATTCTGAGACAGGGTCTGGCTAAATCGCCCAGGCTGGCCTCCAACTTGTCACCCTCCTGCCTCAGCCTTTGGTGGGGCTGGAGTTACAGGTGTGTGCTACCATACCCTGTTACGTGTATTGTGGGGAAACTGAGGCCCAGCGAAAGGCAAGAGCTTGGTCCTGTCAGCACTGGATGAACTCGGTTCCCCTCGTTACTCTCTCGCCAGAGATGCCTTGAAGCTCGCAAAGCTCTTCCTCTTTTCACGGGGCCGCCCCCAAGGGCCGCGCTCCCTCTTTCGAGCGGTCTAGCAGAGGGCCGCTCAGTACCTGGGCCATGTCCAGGGCGCTCATGACGGCGGCGAAGCTGAACATGTTGCCCATGGTCCCTCGCAGCTCGGCGGCCAGCTGGATGGTCTTGTGCAGCAGCGCCGCGCGCTCCTCCGCGGAGCCCGTGCAGCCCAGGATGTCCACCGCAAGCATGATGGACATGGTGTGGAACCTGTTGGAGCGGGCGGGTCAGAGAGCCGGGCCAAGGGCGGGGCGGGGCCCCTACCACAGCCTGTCATAGGGCGCGGAGGGGCGCAGCGTGGAGAGGCTGCAACGAGTCAAGGCGTTAGGGGCGCGGACAGAAGGAGGGAAAGCAAGGCTAGGGGCTTCTGATTGGCCAGTATAAGTAAAGGGCGGGACCAGAACTCCAGGCGGCGGGGCTTGTGATTGATGAGTGGAATTCATTCAGCAAAGCTATTTTAAGAATGAACTAAGAGAGGTCAGAAATGATGGGCGGGGCCAACGCTGATGGACAGGGTATGCACACGAGCTCTCGGAGATGAAACCTCCCGTCTTCGGGAAAGCTGGAGTGCTTTGAGCAGGACACCGAGAGGTTGCAATTGGCCATCTGGATGGGGATGGGAGGCGTGGCCAGAACCCCCGGGGCCAGGCCGAAAGTCCCCCTGGCCAAGGGCCACGGCCGAAGGCGCGAGGCAGCCCGAGTCCCCGCAAGCCCTCTGGGACGGCGCTGGCCTTACCTCTCCAGCAGGTCTAGTCGGAGCTGCCGGCCATGGGGGAGGGTGAGCAGCTCCATGCCCCAGCGGACTCCCATTAGGGTCTGCATCTCCTTGGTAACGCCCAGTATCCTAGCAACCTGCAAGGACGCCCAGAGGGCTGATTAATTTCCTGTCAGGGCTGGCCCGAGCCATCTGGGAGTCCGAGACCTCTATCTAAGCGGGTAGCCGGCTGGGAGGCCGGTTTGAATCCCAGCTCCACCGCTAACCGTCAGGCACGGAGCAAGAGAATCTACCTTTCTGAGCGGACCTCAGTTTCCCCACCTATGAAATGGGGGATAAGCGGGGAAATGTCCAGGATGCCTAACGTGTTAAATATTCAGCTAGGGTTAAGGACTAGAAAGCCTGTATTCCAGAGGGCAGCCTTGAGGCCAGGGAGGAAGAGCCTGCGGAAGTCATCGGGGTTCCTCCCTTCCTGCCCGGGCTCTTCACCGAGCAAGGTCTCAGCCTCGATTCCTCTGTTTCCTGAGCTCTGAGACCAGGGTAACTAGGTAATCAGTTCCTCCCAACCCAGGAGGGAGAAACCGGGGCGCAGAGAGAACTGGTGCCCTTAGCCGGCCAAAGACTCACTACGCGGCAGAGGTCCCCGCACTGACTTCTGGCCAGGAGGGATTTTGCGATTCTTCCACAAGGGGGCGTGGGGGCGGGGAGTCGGGCTTCGCGGGTCTCTGGACCCGCGCGCGTGACTTTCATCAGGCGGGCTCTGGGCACACGGAAGTGTCCCCACGTGCGGGGCAAGAGTGAGACCACCCTGTGTTGCAGGGCTGCCGAACTCCAGTGCCAAACTGAGAACGTCTTCATTTTTTTCCTTTTTTGTGGTGGTACTCGAGATTGAACCCAGAGCACTGGGCCGGGGAAATAGCTCAGTGGCACAAGCACCTGCCTGAACCCAGAGCCCTGAGCCCCCTCAACAGCCCCCAGCCTTTTTATTCTGAGACAAGGTCTCTCTAAGTGACCCGGGCACCCCTCATGGGGCTTTTTCTTTTTATTTATTAATAATTTTGAGATAGGGTTTTGTTATGTAGCTCAGGCTAGTCTCAAACTCCGGGTGTTCCTCCTGCCTCAGCTTCCCAAGTGCTGGGATTAAGGTGTGTGCCACCATTCCCAGGTTGCTTGTTTGTTTTCTCTTTCTGTTCTTTTTTTTTTTTAAAGAAGAAAAGAAGCCAGGTGTGATGGTGTACTCCCTTGATCCCAGCATTCTGGGACTGAGGCAGGAGGCGCTCAAGTTCTAGCACAACCTGGGCAATTTAGCAATTAAGTGAGACCTTGTCTCAAAATAAAACTTTTTTTATTTTTGTCTTTTTGAGACAGGGTCTCACTATGCAGTTCAAGCTGGCCTTGAGCTCACTTTGTACCCCAGGCTGGTCTCAAACTTGCAACGATCCTCCTGCCTCAGCCTCCCGAGTGCCGGGATTACAGGCATGCGCCACCACACCCGGTGAAATAAAACATTTGGATGTAGCTGGGTGGAAAGGCCCCAGACTCAACCCCCAGTACTACTAAATAAAATAAGAGGAGAAAAGAGAGGTCCTCCTGGCAGCCCAGAGTCCCGCAGCGGGAAAGGACAGCCGTGATTCAGGCCCACTCGCACCAGCCCCTCTCCACCGTGACTCCTGTCCCAAGCCGCTGCAGGGCACCGCCAGCGCTTACCAGGCAGTCGACCTTGGTGACGTGCCGGGCCAGCGTCCGGGCGTCCACCTCGGTCAGCAGCTCCTTCACCTTGCGCAGCAGCCCCACCTCCAGGGGCCGGTTTTCCTTGGGGATCAGCAGCGACTGGAAGGTGGCGGGGTTGAAGGAGGAGGTGGCTTCCACAACGGGCGCAGTGAAGCCCTTGCCCCTGTCCCCGTCGGGGGCCCCGCTTTCCGACAGTTCCTTTAGCCTCTCCCCGTAGCTCCGCGCTTGCCGGCTAGAGGGCTCGGCCGCGGCCCACTCGCGGCTGCCGCGCGCGGGGGGCTTCAGCTGGCAGTAGTGGCCAGAGTCCGGGTCGCTGTAGCTGCTGAGCGACGGCGACGGGGAGGCCTTGCCGAGGCTGTGGTTGGGGCTGGCGTGGGGGGCCTTGTCTGACTCCCCGAGGGGCTTTGGGGTACTTCCGGGACACAGCTGGGGCTCACTGGAGCGGCGGGCGATGGGAGAGGCGGGCGGCGCAGTGGTGGAGGGGGCTGCAGGGGCGGCGTGGACGCGGGTGACTGCGGGGAGGAGACAGGGGACCGGTTACCGCCGCCCAGGAGTGGGATCCCTGGTCCCCGCTCGCCGTGGGGGTAACGCCCGCCTCCCGCGTGGGTGGAGACGACCAGCCTTTAGTGACTCTGGGGTCCTGGCCTCTCCCTGAGCTGCCGCACCTGGGGGCCACGGGGCCACTTGGAGGAGGTCGCCCGGGAAAGCCAAGCACCTGCGGGAGCCAGGGTGCGCGTGGGACCGCTTCTCCGGGAGCGAGCAGCAGCGACTCGCCCAATGCATGTGTGCCTGGAGCTGGCCACTTACTGGACATAACACCAGTCAACGGCATCGGCACAAGTCAGGGGTGAAGCTGCACCCCTGTGATCCCTGCACTCTGGGAGGCTGAGTCAGGAGGATTGCAAGTTCAAGCACAGGCTGGGCAATTTAGGGACTTAGCAAAACCCTGTCTCAAAGTAAAAATGAAAATGAAAAATGATCTGGGGTCCTATGCCAGTGGGAAAGCCCTGGGCTCAATCCCTAGGATGACAAAATGAATAAAAATAAACATAATAGGTGAGAGCAGGGGTGCAGCTCAGTGGCAGATCACCTGCCTAACATTTGTGAGGGCCTCTTCCATCCCAACACCACAAAACAAAACTGAAACCAGAGGTGGGAGGAGCTGAGCTCTTAATGCCCACAGAACCTTCTTGACACTTAGTCCATTTAGCTCTCCCTGCATCCTGGGCAGGAAGTACTTCTATGATACTTATTCTATGGAGAAGAAAGCTAAAGCTCAGAGGGTCTAAGTGATCTGCCCAAGGTCACCCAGCCTTCGAGTGAGAGAGGTAGGATTTAAATTTCAACCTCTAGGCTATTGGATTCTGCCATATTATTTGGAGATTATTCCATAAATCATTTCTGGTAAGGAGTTTTATTTTGTTTTGTTCTTTCAAGACAGGGTCTCCCTGTGCAGTTCAGGCTGGCCTTGAATTCACTTTGTAGCCCAGGCTGACCTCGAACTCAATGGCTATCCTCCTGCCTCAGCCTCCCAAGTGCTGGGACCACAGGCATGCCCCACCATGCCTGGCTGGTAAGGAGTTTTAACTTTTACACTTGAATGTACCTGTCTGGCAGGTAAGTTCATACTTATGACAAAGTCAATGGCCCTGTGCTTAGGGCGGAATTTATGGTGAGCTGTAGAGATAGCAATCCTCCAACAGAGCACTCCCATCCCCCAGGAAAAGATTCCCCCAGGACTGCTGCCCTCAAGATTTTGCCTGCCTTGTGGACAAAATGGCCCATTGAAAAGTCTTTCTTTCTTTCTTTCTTTTTTAACCAGCAAGGAAGAGGCTGGGGATATAGCTCAGCGGCACAGCACCTGCCTGGCAAGCACAAGTTCATGAGTTCTATTCCCGGTACTGGGAAAAAAATAAATAAATAAATAAATAAATAAAATTTAAAAAAAAAAAAAAGCCAGCAATGAAGCAGGGCATGTTCCTACAGTGGAAACTTTTTGCATATTTATAAGGAACCACAGCTGGGCATGGTAGTACATGTCTGTAATCCCAGCACTTTGGGAGGCTAAAGCAGGAGGATTGCAAATTCAAGCCTAGCACGGGCTCCCTATCATGACCCTCTCAGACTCAAAAAATAAAAAGGACTGAAGATGTAGCTCAGTGGTAGAGAGCCCCTCGGTTTGATTCCTAGTATCAAAAAAAAAAAAAAAAGGGGCTGGGGATTTAGCTCAGCGGCAAAGCGCCTGCCTGGCAAGCGCAAGGTCGTGGGTTCGGTTCCCGGTACCGGAGAA